GTTTTTGGGGGGAGTCCCGGGGGGTTTTGGGGGGGTCCCGGTGAGTTTTTGGGGGGTTTGGGGGGAGTCCCAGGGGGTTTTTGGGGGGTCCCGGAGGTCCCTGACCCTCCTCCCCCCTCCCCCGGGCCCCCCAGGCCGAGGAGCAGCGCGGGGGGGGCAGCGGGAAGGAGGAGGCGGAGGAGGAGGAGGAGGAGGAGGAAGAGGAAGAGGAGGAGGAGTACGATGAGGAGGAGGAGGAGGAGGAAGACGACGATCGGCCGGCCAAGAAACCGCGGCACGGGGGGTTCATTCTGGACGAGGCCGGTGAGGGACGGGACAGGGATTTTTGGGGGGGGGTTTGGGGGTCTCCAGGCCCCTGACCCCCCCTTCCCGTGCATCCCCCCAGATGTGGATGATGAGTACGAGGATGAAGATCAGTGGGAGGATGGGGCCGAGGACATCCTGGAGAAAGGTGAGGGCTGGGGGGGCTCTCCCCACCCCGGGGGGCTGCGGGGAGGAGGAGGAGGAGGGGAAACCCTGCATGGGAGGGTCCCTGCTCCCCACCCCCAAATCCCCAAAACTGCCTTTCCCTGCCCCAAATCCCCTTTTCCTCAACCCCATTTTCTTCCTCCAACGTTCCCTTTTCCCACCCATATCTCTTTTCCCTAAATTCCTTTTTCCCCCAGAACCCTTTTCCCCTTGCAACCCCTCATTCCTTCCCAAATCCTCTTTTCCCTAACTCTCCTTTTTCCCCCAAAAACTGGTATTTTTTCTCCTCCAAACCCTTTACCCTCCCTAAATCCCCTTTTCCCTCCCCTAAACCCCCTTTTCCCTCCCTAAATCCCCTTTTCCCTCCCCTAAATCCCCTTTTCCTTCCCTAAATCCCTTTTTCCGTCCCCTAAATCCCCTTTACCTTCCCTAAATCCCCTTTTCCCTCCCTAAACCCCGTTTTCAAACCCTAAATTCCCTTTTCCCTCCCTAAATCCCTTTTCCCTCCCTAAATCCCTTTTCCCTCCCTAAATCCCCTTTTCCCTCCCTAAATCCCCTTTTCCCTCCCTAAATCCCCTTTCCCCCCCTCCCTTTCCCCCCTTTTCCCAGCCAGGGGTTCCCAACCCCCCTTTCCCACATCCACCCCTCCATCTCATCCGCTCTCGCCTGGGGCTTTTCCGTTGCTCTTTTTTTTTTTTTTTTTTGATTTCCCCCCCAAAAATTCCCAAATTTTCCCCCCATTCCCTGTTTTTGCTGTTGATTTTACTTCATCCTCCACCGTCACCTTCTCCCCGGGGCAGAGGAGATCGAAGGTAAGAGCCCCCCTCCCCGAATTCCACGGGGATCCCTGGAATTCCCTCCCAGATCCCAGATCCCCATCCTGATTTTTCCTTTCTTTCCTTCAGCCTCCAACATCGACAACGTGGTGCTGGACGAGGATCGCTCCGGGGCCCGGCGGCTGCAGAACCTCTGGAGGTGACCCTGGAGCTCCCCCTGGCTCATCCCCAACCTCATCTCCATCCTTTCCCTTCATCTGCTCCTCTTTTTCCCCATTTTCCATTGTTTACCCTTCCCGTTCCCAACTTTTTGTTTTGTTTTATCTCATTTATCTGGTTTGTTTCTCGTATTTTTCTACTTTATCTGATTTTACCTATTTTTGTCACTTCCCTGTTTTTCTTTTGTTTTCTTCCATTTTTTCCCACATGTTCTTCTCTCATTTTTATTTTTTTTTGCTTTTATCCTATTTTTCCCATTTTCCCTGATTTTCCATTATTTTCCTTTAATATTCCCAAATTTTTCTCTTGTTTTACCTCATTTATTCATATTTGCCACTTTCCCTGATTTCACCAATTTTTGTCACTTCCCTGTTTTTCTCTCGTTTCCTCCCATTTTTTTCCACAAGTTCTTCTTTCATTTCCCTGTTTTTCTCTCGTTTTTCACTTCATTTTTATTTTATTTTTGCTTTTATCTTTTTTTTCCCATTTTCCCTGATTTTCCATTGTTTTCCCTTAACGTTCTCAAATTTTTCCCTTGTTTTACCTCATTTATTTGGTTTTTATCTCATATTTCCCACTTTCCCTGATTTCACCAATTTTTCTCACTTCCCTTTTTCTCTCTTTTCTCCCGTTTTTCCCTCATTTCTCCACCGTTTTCCCTTCATATTCCCATGGTTTTCCTAATTCCCCTTGTTTTATCTCACTTCCCCCATTTTCACCTTTTTCCCCCCCGTTTTTCCCCATTTTTCCATCGTTCCCCCCATTTTTCCATCATTCCCCCCCGTTTTTCCCTCTTTTTTCCCCGTTTTTCTCTCCTTTCTCACATTTTTCCCTCCTTTTTCCACATTTTTCCCCGTTTTTTCCACCATTCCCTCCCATTCTTCCATCATTCCCTCCCATTTTTCCCTCTTTTTTCCCCATTTTTCCATCATTCCCCCCCGTTTTTCCCTTTCTCACATTTTTCCCTCCTTTTTCCTGTTTTTCCCTCCTTTTTCCCATTTTTCCCTTGTTTCTCCCCATTTTTCCCTCCTTTCTCCCATTTTTCCCTCCTTTTTCCCCATTTTTCTCTCCTTTCCCCATTTTTCCCTCCTTTTTCCCTGTTTTTCCCTCCTTTCTCCCCATTTTTCCATCATTCCCCCCCATTTTTCCCTCCTTTCCCCATTTTTCCCTCCTTTCTCCCCATTTTTCCCTCTCTTCCCATTTTTCCCTCCTTTCCCCATTTTTCCCTCCTTTTTCTCCATTTTTCCCCATTTTTCCCTCCTTTCTCCCCATTTTTCCACCATGCCCTCCCGTTTTTCCCTATTTTTCCATCATTCCCAGTCGTTCTTCCTTCCTTTTTCCCCATTTTTCTCTCCTTTTTCCCCGTTTTTCCCTCTTTTCTACCATTTTTCCCTCTTTTTTCCCCATTTTTCCCTCCTTTTTCCCCATTTTTTCCCTCCTTTCTCCCATTTTTCCATCATTCCCCCATTTTTCCCTCCTTTTTCCCCATTTTCCCCTCTTTTTTCCCCATTTTTCCATCATTCCCCCCCATTTTTCCATCATTCCCCCCCGTTTTTCCCTCCTTTTTCCCGTTTTTCCCATTTCCCGCTGATTTTGCCCCGTTTTTCCCGGCAGGGACCAGCGTGAGGAGGAGCTGGGCGAGTACTACATGAAGAAATACGCCAAGTCCTCGGTGGGGGAGACGTGAGTGTCCCCCGGTGTCACCGTCCCTGTCACCCGGTGTCACCCAATGTCACCCGGTGTCCCCCTGGTGTCACCCGGTGTCACCCCGCGTCACCGTCCCTGTCACCCAGTGTCCCCCCGGTGTCCCCCTGGTGTCACCCCGTGTTACCGTCCCTGTCACACGGTG